ACTAATTAATCTAAAGTTACTATTATTAGGTAATAATATTAATAAGTAAAAGTTAAAGGTTAATAAATCTATCTAAAGATTTTTTTTATAATAGTAGTTATAAGTTACTTACTAGTAGGTTTTTACCTCTATAATACTATATAATAGCTTAGTTACTATTATTATTATATTTACTAAGTAAAGATAATAAATTTATATAAGTAAGTAAATAAAAATAATATAATTTAGTAGTATTATTAATTAAGTATATATCTAGGTAATATTATATAACTAGAGAAGAAATCTATATTAAAATAGTAATATACCTATAGTATATATATTACTTTTATTTATTAACCTAAAGCCTACTTTAACTATTTAGTTACTACTTAATACTAATTACCTATAGTAAAGAAGATTAAAGCTTTAAACTACTAAATTAAATAGTAAATTAATAACCTTAACTATAGCCTATAATTCTTATTAATTAACTTTATAACTACTAAGCTTTTTATATTTATTAATAGCTTATTTATAAATAACTATAACTTTACCTTTTAACTTAGCTTTATTATAGTCTTTACTAATAAATAAATTATTAAGTAACTTACTACTAATAGTAAAAGCTTTAAATTAACTAGTAATATTATTTACTTTAGTTTAATAAAGTATAAGAGAGTTATATATAGTATACTTACCTCTAAGGTCTATAGGATAATTTCTAGTACTAATATTACTTATATAATTAGTACTACCTTTATAATAATTACTAACTACCTTAAGCTACTATAAATACCTATAATACTCTATATTAACTTATACTTACTTTATAAGTACCTTATAAAGCTTAGTACTATAAAAGAGAAGTAACTTATAATAAATATTATAGCCTTTTACTAGTTATATAAATATTATAAGATTTATAAAATATAGTAGATTTATAGTAGTAATAACCTAGTAGATAGATTTATAAAGTTATTACTAAATAATATATTAAAAGAGCTAGTTAGTAATAAGTAGTTAAAGATATAAATAAATAAATAGGTTTCTTATATATAATAGGCTATATAAGTAAAGAGTATTAAATACTTTTTAGCTTTTTGTTTTTATTATATTTTTTAGCTATTCTTTTAGATATAAATAATAAGGGATTTCTAGTACTATAGAAAGTTACTAGTATTATAATATTAACTATTATAAATAAATATTAGAGTTATTAGGTTAACCCTAATAACTTATTACTAGTAAATCCTTAGATATTTAGCTATAGATTCTCTAAGGATTTATAGGTAATAAGTTAGTTATTTAACTAACTAACCTATAATAATTATTCTTTTTTTCTTTATATATAATAAAGAACTATAGTTACCTTTATTATTTATTTATTACTACTAATATATATAGTTAACTATATTAACTTATCCCTTAGTGTTACTAACACCTTATAATAAAGTCTATTAATATTTCTATATATAAGTATTTTAGTATTAGTAGTAAAGTAAGGTAACTATAAGAGTAGTAATACTATAGCTTTATTTTTTAGTATACTATATATATATTAATATATTCTTTAATATTCTTCTATAGTCTATCCTAATAGTAGCTTCTTTATAGTAGCTATATTATATAGCTAACGCCTAGATATCCTATATACTCTACGTTATAGTAGTCTTCTAGGATCCTTCTTCTTATTCTCTTTTTTTAAGGTATATAGACTTATATTCCTTTATAGAGGAGACCTTTTACGTTAAAGCATCGGCGGCTCGGTCGAACAGTTTGTCAAGTCGCTTCCGGTTTTGAGATTGGTGGCGGGAGCCGGATGCCTTTGTGTCCATCCATGTCGCGTCGTCGTCGTCGTCATCGTTGAGGTTGGGGGAAGGTATCTCGTCAGCAGACGTATCAGGATGGATTAGGAGAAGTCCGTTGAGATCAATCGTTGTGAGTTCTGACCGCAAGTAACGTAGCACACTCTCAACGTCCCATAAGAACAGCTTCTCTGGGACGAAGTCGCCTGTGGAGCTCAGAGACAGGGACGGGTCAGGAGGGGAGATGAGTGTGTCGGTGGACGGAGGCATCAAGGGCACTGTTGAATCGTAAGCAAACCCAACTAGGTTTTCATATAACGGCCTATCATCTAGGAGGATGGCCCGGGGAATGGAGGCGTAACCGAGATGGATATTCATCGTGCGGTTCGCGGCATCAAGGGGGACCTGAGTCCTGACCTCGGCATGACAAACAAAGACAACAACGATTGAGATGATGAGGGCACACAAGGTCCCCCCCACCAGGACCAAAGCCAAGATTCGGGTGGATGGTGCCCAGCTTCGCAGCATGTCCGAGATGGCTGTTTGGTATGAGCATATCCTGAGGAAGAGCGACGACGGTGCGGGTCGGGGCGGTGTTGGAACAGGGGAATCGTGTTCGCAATACGGATACAAACGGACCAAACCAAGCTCCACGATGTAGTTTGTCGAGTCCTGCACGCGATTCTTCGCGCTGCCGGCGTTTTGGTCCCTTTGACGAACAGGTTGACCCGGCAGGCCGTCCGCCAGACTGCGACGGCGTCTTTTGGGTGGTGGACACGACGTCGATGTCTCGTGCTGTGGCCGCTTCGCCGGCCGGTTCCACTCCTCCTCCTCCTCCTCCTCCTCCTCCTCCTCCTCCTCATTGTCATCGTGACAAGAGTCTTGTTGTGGGGGTTTCTGAAAGGCATCGCCGCATTCTGGAGACACGGCGATGTATCTTTGGGGCAGACTATCGCCAGGCCAGCCGAGAAGTATGGGGGTATTGCTACCGTCTGATATTCCCGAGGCCCAAGTTGCATCGGAGCCGCCCAAGTGTAGAGTCAAGCCGGACGAGTTGGGCTGCCAGTCTTCGTGAAAGCAGAGGTCGAGGAATTGGATCGGACCGTCGGGGCCGCGGGCCTGTATCGCCAGACGCACGGCGGCGAAGCCGAGGCTGGCATGAGGTGGGTTCGTTGGGGGCGTCGACGGCGGGAGGAGCTGCAGACGGATGAAAATGAAAGATGATTAGCCTCAGATCATAATGGACGGGTAGGGGAGGGAGGCAGGAATATTTCTCACCTGGTATCGGCTCGACAGCGATTGCGACTGTGAAGGATGGCTCATGGTTCCCGGGAGCAACGTAGCGAAAATGCGATGCAATCGATGGCCACGGCTCGGCTTCTGTCTGATACGAGAGAACGGAAGCCGACGGAGACAGGAGGAGAGGAATCGAGAGGGAGGTAGGTGTTGGACGAGAAGTGTTCCGGAGACGTGTCCTGTTGGTCACTTGGCACGGGATGGTGGCTGCTCTATTCTGGTTTACGAACCACGCCCAGCAACGAGCAAACAATATCCGTAATAGATGATGGCAATGACCTCAATGCGGCCCCTGACGGTTCTTTCCTTCTGGGTGTCGAGCCAGCATGTGCTCCTCTTGTGTTACACCCCCCTTGAGCCAGCCCTTTATCCATGTGTACAAACAGCAAAAACAACAACAACGACTACAATGACAACAACAGTAACCAAGAGGAAAAGAAAAAAAGAAAAGACCAAGCTAAACCATGACCTTGACCACCGTGCATCAACTTCCCTCCCATCAGGGCCCGTTCCCGGCCAGAAGATGGCGCACTCGATGGCAAGGTCCCTCCTTCGGTTCCGCCACACATCATCCTCGGGGGCGGCGTCCACAGGCCGCAGGAAACGAGACGCATAGACGGCTCGGTGATCGATGTCAGAAAGCGCCGTCATGGCTTGGTTGAGCAGGCTGCGGTATGCGCCTTCACGTGCCGACAGGCCTTTCTTGTTGAACGGCTGCACACGGCCCGCCCATGCCTCAAGCACGCTGCGCTGTGCCCCGTCGACTGTCTTGCCACCGCGTACGTTGCCTTCTGCAGCCGGATGGAACGGTGCTGCGTACGGATCCAGGCCGAGGAGCTCGAAGAGGTTTGGTGGAGCAACGGTGCCTGGGTGGAACTGGCAGTTGAGATACTCAGTAGAGCATATTTTGCGGTAGATTGGTGCGTCTGTTTTCGGATGCTCAGCAGCTAGTAAGAGGGTGTGTGTATGTGTGTGTAAGAGTGAGTGAGAGTGAGTGAGAGTGAGTGAGAGTGAGTGAGAGTGAGTGAGAGTGAGTGAGAGTGAGTGAGAGTGAGTGAGAGTGAGTGAGAGTGAGTGAGAGTGAGTGAGAGTGAGTGAGAGTGAGTGAGAGTGAGTGAGAGTGAGTGAGAGTGAGTGAGAGTGAGTGAGAGTGAGTGAGAGTGAGTGAGAGTGAGTGAGAGTGAGTGAGAATGAGTTGAGAGTGAGTGAGAGTGAGTGAGAGTGAGTGAGAGAGAACAGGGCAAATGGAATTCAGTTGGCTGCCACTGACCTTGCGACATGATTGCTTGTGCTCCCACGCCCGAGGGAGAAGGAGTCTTTAGGGAGAAGACTACTGTCACCGCAATGAGGAGGCTGATGACAGCCAAGACGACCAAGGAAAACACGGTGATGGCTACCCGGGGGCCCCTGTTTTGTGACGTGACGATCTCGGACCGCGGGTGTGACGAGACCGGTGGCCTCTTGGGGGATGGGGAAGAACGGTTGTTGGTGGAGGTCGTTTCTGGATGGCGCCGCTGGGGTCGGCGATAGAAGTTCTCCTCGTAGCCCTGGTGAAAATCATAACCTGGGAACGAATCCATCTCTGGTCGCTCTCATCTATAGATCATAAGCAGAGAGAGAAAAGGGATGAGAGAAGTTGGGCCAAGGTTGGGTAGCGTAGTGGAATGCGTTGGGTATAAATGCCCCGCGGCCATCATTATGTTGATGCGTTCGCAGCCCGAGGTGTCTCACATTGCGACGGCTGAAGATGGTAATAAAAAGCATAACAGCTTTCACTCCAAATGGAAGCAAAAGGGTCATTCGAGACAGGATGTTGCAAGCCACTGCTTAGACTCATAGGTTTGGCCAAAGAGGGTGGCCCAGGAAGGGTGGCTTTTCTTCTTTCACGCAGATAATGGGATATGACGAGTGGCTTGTTACTCCGTATTGAAGAGACAAGGCGCAAAAGGGCACACGATACTACTTAATTCATGAATCATCTGGCCGTCGCTCTGACCAGGAGACTGCTTGCTTCTTTGGCGAGAGAGAAGAGCAGACCATACAAGCGCGTCGCACCTCGCCATTATAAGATCATCATGCCACCACCTTCGGCAGCATTCAGTCGCAACTTGGTCAAGTCAAGCCTGCATTTATTCACTCACATACATCATCTGACATGGCTCCAAAATCCGGGCCGGAACCCAAACCCGACCAACAAGCCATCTTCCTCGCAGCATGCAGAGGGTCCGGCGCGGGCAAGGCCAAGAAAACCAGCAAGCCCAGTGTCAATAAAGGCGGTCAAATAGCCCAAGGCGGGACCAGCGATAGGAATAGCAACGGCACAAATGGCAGCAGCAGCAGCAGCAGTAGCAGCACGGGTGCCACCGTCGAGATTCAGCACCAAGAGTCACGTTCACAAACGTTGTCTTCAACAGCGACCAGACCAATCACCTCGGCATGGACGGCGGTGGCGGCGAGCAAGCAGGACGAACCCGGCGGAGGACAAAACAGCACAACGCAGGTCAGGGGTGAGAAGGTGCACTTTCAACAGCAAAACTACATCCAGTTCAACGGGGACGGGCAGCACCCGCCCAATGGATTCGGCAGACGGGCGCAACACGGCGCGGCCACAGGTGGCACAAGCAGCACAAGACGGGGTGCCGAGATTCCCAACAGCAGCGGCGGCGACGGCGGCGGCGGCAGCGACACAAGCGGCTTGCTGGGAGCATCTGCCTTGATGCATATGGCGAGGTACGCGAGATGGGCCATCTACAAGGCTGCATGGAAGCTTTGCAAGGCCTTGTGCATCTTCATCCCGGTGATGCTTGGCGTGGCGCTGGTCCATGTGGAAACAGGCGAGTGGCTCGGGCCGCGATACAATAGGGCCGTCGGAGTTGCGGCGGGATGGGTGGGCGCAGTCGTGGGCGGCGTCTTCTCTTCTTGGACTCCCCCCTCGCCCGAGGGGGGAAGCTGGCATCTGCCTCTGGTACCGACAGATTCAACGTCGTCGACAACATCAGCACATCACACCTTCAACATGCCAGTGCCATCAGAACTAGGTATGGTGATCCCAAAGTCGGTGCACCGTGATCTGGAAGATCTCTACGAGACTCTCGGCGGCGGCAGTGGTAGCAAGGAACACAGTGGCGGCGGCATGCTGAAGCACAGCCGGGAGACGCTGCAGGCAGCAGACGAGTTGGATGACCACGCCATGGCGTATTACGACCTGACTCGGCGGCAGGTCGAGAGAACCAAGGACAAACTCCAGACGCTCCGGGGGCGAGGCTCCATGTACAGCGGAGTGCGGGAAAGCTGCAGGGCAGAGCCGCCGGCGGTGTGGCGGGCTTTGTTAATGTGGTGGAGAGGCGCTCGGGTAGCAGCAACTCGGAGTGATGTCATGGTCATCAAACTGAACGAATTGCGGGAGCTGCTGCACAGACGGAGGCAAGATATGGGCGCGGCAAGGCACCACCCAAGCGGCGGTGGTTTAGATCGGCTGAGTAGGGTGGTGGAGGGTTCATGCCACTACGCCAAGGCGGCGAGGGAGTACGTCGGACTGCAAATAGGGTCGGGCGGGGTCGAGGAGAGAATCGAGGAGGGGTCTGAGAGTAGGACGGGGAAGAGGACGGAGAGCGCGAGTGTGAGCAAGGTGTCTGAGGCAGCGACGGGGTTGCAGGCCGTGTGCGTTGCGACGCGGTGGTCCAAAGAGAGACACGAAGAGCTGGTGGGCCAGATTCTGCACGAGGCCAAGCTTCTGGACAGGACCATTATCGACGTGAACCACCTCAGGGATAAGGTGCGGCGAACGTACCCGTACGCGCGGGACGAAGCCGAGGTGGAGGTGGCAGGCAACGGCAAGGCGCGGGGGAGGTGGTGCGAGCAGGAGGAGGCGCTGGTGGCGGAGGTGGAGGCAGAGATGGAGACGCTGATTGCCAAGTACTTGAAGACTCTGCAGGGATATTTCGGGAGGGCGTACGATTGAGGAGAAGGTCGGGATGGGATGATGCTGAATGTATGTACGAATACGTGGTGTTGTTGACGCGAAATCGTCACAGGACTGCGTAGGTGAGTGGGTGGGTGGTAGGGACCTAGCTAGGTACCTAGGTAGGTTCGGGTTAATTAGATTGTTTCGTTCGCGTACGGAATGTGGTATTCTTCCGGGCTTAGCCACAACGGCTTGTGGCGTTGGCCGTACAGGGCCAGAGAGGTACTCCGTATCTAAGGAAAGCGGGAAGGCGGGAAGGCGGGAAGGCGGAAAGGTGGGAAGGTGTCACCTTGGCCCGCCTGCCTAGTATAAGTCGGGCTGGTCGTTAGCGCGCAAACCTCACCCCCGCCAGCTGCCAGGTGCTAGAAATCCACCCGCGTACATTCTTTGTTTAGGTACTTTGGCATAGAGAAGAGCTCCCTGATATGGAACAGAGTACTCTGGGCCTGTTTGTTTGCCTGTCCTCCCGTTTATCCTCCTCCTCCTCTTCTTCTTCTTCTTCTTTTCCCTCTTTTCCCTCTTTTCCCTCTTTTTCATCATCACCATCAACACCCCGACCATGGACGACGACCCGAGCCCTACCGCCCGTCCTTCTAGGATCCTCGACCGCGCCAAGGCCGGAGATGACACCGTCGTCTGCAAACGCCGATGTCTCGAGCTTCAGGCTCTCTATCGAGACATCTCGAACAGCAAAATGAGCCACCACATCACCCTCAAGGCCGAGCTTGAGACCCCCAAGATCGAAGGTTTGCCTTCCTTCATCGCCTACGCCCGCCAGACGAACCCCTTGCCCCCTAATATGTCCGTCGACTTCGACCCGAACTGGCTCGATCCCGGCCACAGGAGCCTCATTCCGCTCAGGGGCATGTTCACCAAGTGGATCAAGAAGTCCCACCCCCCGCCTCGGTACCGGTACCTATTGCCCCGGACGACCAGGCCGTACCGCCGCCTCCGCCCGCCCAGCGTCCTGTTCCCGAACCGACTCCTCCTCGACCAGCTGAGACCCTGCCGTCCCTGGTGATAAACCAGCCGAGTGCCGCTAGCATCGACGATCCGCCCCAGGATGCGCCGGCGGCGCCAACGACATGCGCGTCTGACGAGCCATCGTCGGAGCCGATTCCGGTGCAGCCGCCACAACAGCATCTTCCCAAAGGATCTGGGCTGAACCTCGAGCCCGAGACGCAGCCGCACCTTGCACCGCCGCCGTCTTGGGAAGACACCCCAAAGAATATTGACGACAGACGTGCACCGTGGGATTGGCATTCCACGCACGAAATTCTCACCTCTATCCTCCGTGCGGTGAACCCACAACAGGAACGGGCGTCTCCTCATTTACAACAACTACAACATCTACAACATCTACAACAAGATTGTCCTGATGGCCATGTTTCCCATCAGCCCCCGTCGTCGGTTCAGCCTCTGGTCTGTCCTCTTCCCCTCGCACTCCGCCCCGCCGCCGACAAAGCCGGCCGTGAGAGCCACACGCCGGGCCCGATGCCCGGCTCTCTCCCGCCCCCGTCTGAAGAAACGCCGGGAGGCGGCGATGAGCATGAGCAAGACACTTGGCCGCCCCAAGGCGGTTCCGAGCCTCCCCACGCCGATGCAGAGTCGGCGTTGAGCCACATGAAGGGTTGGTACGTGTGGTGGCTGAGAGAGCATAGGCGGAGAAGGGCGTGCCGTCCAGAACAGGGATGAGGACACTTTAGCGGATTGCTGTGTCCTCTAAAAAGCCGATGTGTGTTAAAGCTTGATATTAGCTACATCGTAGACTCGCATCACCTAGCATAGATCTTTAATGTCTGTCGTTACTTGGGCTCGCGAATTCGGCTGTCCTTGGACGTCCACTTGAGGCCACTGCAGCGAGTCGGTGGTTTTGTTCGTGAACATGGTGCAAGTGGCGGTGACGGACTCCTTGAGAGGGCCCGTCTAAGAACCTGTTAAGCTGCGAGAGGACCTTGGCCTCCCTCGGCTCCTTGAGCCTGACCATCTCTGGAGATGGCCTGACGGACAAGTTGTTGATGACTGAGCTCACTGGCCATCTCTTTGACCTTGGTATAAACTACCTTAAAACCGGCGTGGACGGTCAGCACGAGGTACAAGGTGTAGATGATGTTGTAGCTAGCCAGACCATTTGGCATCGCCCCAGAAAGCACAGTTAGCAACTTGGTAAAATGCCAGCACGTGTGAAGGGACGTAACTGTGGCAAAATAGTGGTGGTATTGTGGTGATGTGAACTCTGGCAGAAAACCCACGAAGTGGGCAAAAGGCTGGTTGGTAGGCTCGAGGCTGGTCAGTCCGTATCGCCGGAGCTGTCCGGGGACAGACAAAAAGTTGTCCCCGAGAAGCCGACGCCGGGACCCACCTCCGCCAGCCAGCCCATTCTAGTCTACAGAAGGAACTAACAACACCTTCCTTCCTTCCTTTTCGTATCCATGTCCGTGCAGGCCTGCCCGGATCCTCCTGTCCAGCTGGCAAGGCAGGTAAGATCGGTCTTCCTTCTCTTCCTCCTCTAACGCACTTCTTCCCCTTGTCAATCTCTCTCTATCTCTCTCTCTCTCTCCCTTTCTCACATCCTCATCACGAGGCGCAATCATCACCACCTCCTCAACAAGACACACTTGTGCGTGAAAAGATCGAAATACCCTGTAGGTTAGCTGAAACCCGCGTTATTGCCATTGTTTTTAGTCGGTCGTATCCCCTTTTGCAACAATGGCGACACCACCGCGTCGATCCCCAAGTTCAAGCACACCAAAGCCGCCACACCAGTTTCGGGTTGAGGCCAGCCGAACAATCGACCCGTTTCCATCCATCAATCACAGTGCCTGAAGGCCTGGGCCTAATTGATGAAGAGATTGGAACCTGCCTGCACCTACCTACCTACCTAGCCTACCTTTGGCAACAGCGCACTCTCACGTGAATCCTTCCTTTTTCGTCTTATCCCAGATACCCTCACTTCTCTTGATGAGATGTTTGCTAACATGAGTAACAATCATTTCAGGTCAAGTCTATCTTCTCGTCCGTTGTTGCGCAGGATATACACCCCAGCCTCGTGAGACAAAAGCAAGGCCTGCTTGCCATCATCGATACGACAGTGGACCCGATATTGCCCGATATCCAGTCAGCCATTCTCAAAAGAGTGATTGTTCAACGATCCAAGCTCAAGGCAACTATCAACATCGCCGAAGCCAGACTCGATCCTGACGACAGAATCGAGGCTCGCAGGTTCCGAACCGCCGAGCGACGCGCAAAGCACATCTCGTACCTGAATGCCGAATGGATAGGCCTTGGCTGGATTCCTGAGGACGTGAGGCGACGCCGCAGAAACCAACAAAGGCAGATTGCCGACGGCCTCATCGGACGTCTCGTCACAATCACCACGATTGCCAAGAAACAGGGCATTGTCCTTTCTCCCCTTTGGCTTCAGGGCGGCCTTTTGCGCGAACTGGTCGGGGACAAACCTCTCGATAAGCAACTCTTCTCCGAGGCCATCCGTACGTTGACGGCCCAGAATCGGTCCAACTCGGTCTCTTCCTCACTCAACGGAGGCGCAGACGACCAAGACAACGGCTACCTGATGGAGCCTGACAAGAGCCGTCCAATTACCAAACAGCAAGGGTCCCGTGACGAGCCCGATGGGCATATGGCTGGAGGAATGGCCGATACGTTGTTTGCTTCAGGTCATGACCAGGACATGTTTCCTCCTCTCTTTAACCAAGCGTCTCCCCCAAGTGTCGAGAGCCCTCGGGGCTCCCCTAGCCCGATACTTTCTCCATCTTCTCTATCTCCTCCATCGTCATTTAACGACGCAACAGAACTAGACATCAAGAACACCAACCTTGCCTGTACCATTACACAACAAGAACATGTTGACGGAACATGACGCGTCTTTCAGCTTCGCCAGAGCTACACCCGCCACCAGAGCCAAGCACAACCTTCCGCCAGCCAGCAGACCAATATCAACACCATCGCAAACGACTCCAGCCTAGTGCAGGGGAAAAGCTCTTGCTGACTGTGTTGACGCTCTAGAATCCGACAAATGGCTCTTGAGCTCCCATATAAGCCTCTGTCTCCAGACCTCAGGCGTCGTCCCTCCTCCCAGCTGTCACGTTTTCGATCCGGGCTCCCTAATTGATTATGAACCAGGCGACCAGCGCAAGTCGACAGTCAATCCTGCCAAGCTGCCAGATAATGTAGTCTTTATTATGCAACTGCAAGGGTACCAGCATTAGTCAGTCAGTCACTTGAGTCGCCAGGCCAAAGTGTTCCGATACTTTGACTCGATCCCGAAGCCAGATGTGTTCCAAAACGTGCAAACCAAAATGGCGTCTTGGTTTGCGGACAACAGGCTTGCTGATACGGCCGATGCACCATTGGAGTTCTCTCAAGAACCTGTGAGTTGGCCTCTCGGTAGCCTCCGTGGCTTTAACTAACATGTATTATGCCTTGTAGTGCGCCAAGCAGTCCGACGCATACAATTGTGGCATCTTTGCCATCGAGGTCGTGGTTGCCCTCCTGGCCCAGAGCCCAATACCGCAAGGTATCTATGCCGCCATGTCCCGTACACGGTACGCTCAGCTAGTGGGCGATATGCATCAGCCAGCTCATTTTCTCGGATGTGCCGCCTGTGAAGCTTGATTACAGGCTTCCGACAGAATCGAGCGTCCTCGAGAAAAAGGTGAGCGAGATACTCGCATCGAGAGAGAGCAAGACGACCGAGCCGGCTCCAGCACCCGACTACCCCGACATCAACGACGGTGTCCGCCGACAGTTGGAGGCACTTGAGCGACGTATCGAGAGCGAGGAGCGGGAACGTGACGATACCTGGTCGGAGGGGCTTCGTTTCTTGTTGGCGGCCAAGCAGGCGAAGGAGGCCGGCAATGATGTTGTGGCGCTGCAGATGTACGAGCAAGCACTGCCATTTCCCCCTGGCCAGGCGAAGCTCTTGGGCAAGATCGAAAAGTTGCGGTCAAAGCTTGGAAACAAGCTTCCAGCCGAAACGGCGTGGGCTCCGGCGTCGACTCATGAAGGCCTGAAGCGACATGGAAGGGCTACTGGCGACATGGAAGGGCTACTGGCGACATGGTGCTCCAATTTTTGAGCCTGGATGCGGGACCGGAGGTGCAAATAAGCAGAAGGTGAGCAGCAGTTGCTGAAAAATCGGTAGGTGCTGAGAATCGGCAGTTGCTGACAATCGGCAGGCACCGTACCATGACCGCAATTGAGATCTTCTGGGTGACGCCAATGCCCGAAGAAGACTGCTAGTGGAAGCACTACGTCTGCGGGATGCCAGAAGAGTATAGGGCTTCCTTCTCATGCCATAGCACACGCCTTCAAGCCCATGGAGACGGATAAAGCTCGGTGCTCATCATGTACCAGGGCGGGTGTTGTCGGACACGTTCCCGGTGATCTGACCCTCATAGTTTGCTTCCTTGATTTGCGTTCTCCTTGTGCCATTCCATTCATCCATTATCGGCGCGTCGTCGCTTCTGGGCATGGTGTCCGTGATGGTCATTATGGGAGTTCGGGTCGCGCGCTCGTTTTGTACCGCAAGGCATCAAAGCTTGGGAAATACGCTGTTGGAATGTTGTGTATGGTTCGTATTCGACTTTCCTGGCTTGGACCTGGAATGCAGCAGAGAGGGGTGGACGGCGGCAAGGATGTGCGAGCTTGTCGAGGAAGGAGTTTGGGATTTCGGCCGTGTAAATGGTCATTCGAGACTTGTTGTCGACATGACTGAGCAGCACGTGAACCTGTGATAGTCATTAGACTCCACTACCAATCAAAGTGGTACTTGCTGCTGCTAGCACCTAGCCGGTGAATCGACTTGCGCGGAGCCGAGCAACACTGATGCTGTGCCATGGCAATGCGAATGGCAGTGATGTAGGAGTAGTGAGCCTTCTGGCCATGCTGCAGAACCGACAGGCGGGTATTGTAGAGGGACCGTGTTATGCTATTCCATGCTTGGCACGATTCCTTGAGATATTTGCTGAAGAAGACCTTGTTCGGTCTTGGTCGATCCTACGGTTCGATGGAGCAGGCTTCGGAGTCTGGTTTCCAACCAGAGGATGAAGACAATAGAGAATCAATCCACGCGCTATTCAAGTTGGTCAAAGGCCCATCAACCGATCACCGTGTCACTCGCAGCGTGCGGACAGAGTATGCCCTCCGCCGCGACCCTCTCGGCAATGTAACTGCTTTCAGCAATTTGGGGCGCGCTTTCTCCTGTGGGGGTCTTCGCTGCGTCGTCCTGATGCTTGCATTCCCTGCCGATGTCCTTGGTCCATCCAAGATCAAGATTGGTGGCTGCTGTCCTCTTCAAAGAAAATACTGCCTCGCCACCTCACGATTTCCATCCCTGGCAGTCTCATTTTGATATGGCCTCCCCTCCCCTTTTCGGCAAAAGCAACAAGATGATGCCTCCCGTCCGACACCTTGACAATGGCTTTCTCCACCACAAACAAGCCTCATGATGCCAAACCCCTTCACATCACCGGTCGGACTTGGCCCGTGGACAGTCATACTTCCTCGTCTTGAAGGTTCAAGGCCCTCTATTGGTTAACTCACCTAGGCTGACTGATGCAATACTGTTGACCGTCAGTTGATTTCGTGCCCCTACTCCTCCTCATAACAAATAAAAGACCAACAGAACGGACCCATCTAATATATGTTGGCGCATTGGCAGTCAACAATGTGCAACTCGACGCAGGCCAGCGACCGGGGGTGGGAGTGAGCTTCAGGGCGCGGACGGGGAGGTCTGCAGGGCATTGGGCCTGAAAACGGCAGCCTACTACGGTTTCCCTAACAAGTATCCGTAGTGTGGAGTTGTATGGAGTTGTAACCCTTGGATTTTAAGACTCTCACTGGCCAGATTTATGCTGGGTGTGCACAATAGCCTCGAAGTACCTACTGCTGACATAATCGAAAAGCTCGGCCACATTTACCTGACGAGGGGGGGTGCCTGATACCGCAGTACGTACCGCCGCCGGTGCCTTGGGGACCTGGACAAGAGGGGCCACTCACTGTAGTGTACGGAGTACTCTGGACCTCATGCTCAGCACAAGGGCCCGCTTTCGCGAACGAGTCCTGTCCTCTAAAAGTGCAGCCCCCCCGAGACAGCCAACGTTCCCGTCACTCTCCGCCCTCGTTCGCGTCAAGCCCAAACAAGCAACGCCCGACAGTCACAACCAAATTACAATCAATGCTGCAGAGATAAGTTGTTTGCCTCATTTCCATACGTCTTCAGCAAAATCTAGAGTAGCGACATATCTTCATGAAGCTTTGCAACCCCCCATCGCAGCGCCCAAAAGACAAACTCCGGCACTCAGACCAAAACGCTCGCTACAAGCGTATTTATTAGTAGACATGGCGTAGCATGTCCCTGGTATAAATGTACCATCTCTTAAACGTAGTCTAGGTATCCTCCTCTTGGGTCTCCTCCGCCATCTCCTTTACGACAAGATCGATTTCGTCTTTCCCAACCCAGTCTTCCGGGTCCAAAAGACCGACCGCCGTGATTGCTGCCCGAAGCACTTCTTGCTGCTTTTTGCACTTCTCAAGGGCCGTCATTGCCGCATTGACCTTTTCCGCCGAGCTGCACACGGCGCTCAAATCGCATGTGAGCTTCTTCGCACGTTCCGCAGCGGTATTGACGTCTTTTGTCGCCTTCTCGACACTCTCTCCGTTGTATCCTGCGGCACGGAGGCGCTCGACAAAGGCAGCGGTGGCCTCGCGAATAGTCATATCCTCCACGTCCGAGTCCTGGTCGTCGTGGTCCTCCTGCAGCGAGGCCACCTTGGATGCCCACAGTTTGGTCACCTTGTGGCGTGACACGTCGTTCAACGCTGCTGACGATGCGTGCGTTAGATCTTTTTGACTTGCGCTCAGCCTTCTCCTTCGCTTCTCGAGCCGAGGAATGAGACCGGTAGCTTTGGCACACGCGTCTTCAGCCGCTACCTTGGAAGTCCAATGCTCAAGGAAGCGCCTTTTGGATTCACCGGCAGGGTCGGGCGAGCCGGCTTCTTCGGGAGAAGGTCTCTTTTTTCCATTTTTTGACAACATCGGGAATGGTCTCTCGACGTAGGCTGGTAAAGTCAGGAGTGGCGCTTCGTCTTGTTCCTTCGTTCTGTGGTATGCCGCACTCAAGCATAAAACCCCGCTGGTCGCTTGGGAATCTTTCGCTTCAATGAGCGCCTGGTATTCATCAGCCTCTTGCCCTCTTCCATGTATCAACATGTTTCAGAGGGACCACGAACCGTCCTAAAAGACACCTCGCAATTAGTCCTGAAGTCAGTGACGACTTTTCGTACAAAGCCTTCGACCATGTCCATCCGTTGTCCGTCAGGAACGCAGTCGATATGACAGGCATCGACCAAATTCCGGGTGCCAGCCGAATAGTTCACAACATGCAGACAGGTCCATTGTCCATCTGTCTGACCATGGTGAAGGAGAAGAACGATCTTATCGTACTTTTGAATTTCGAGAAGTTGATGACCGAGTGGGAGTGGGAAGTCGAAGACGCGGCCGGCTTTTGAGGTACCATATGATGCCAAGTCACCATCGGCTTCGACCATGCTGGGGACGATAGACATCATGTCTTCGGGTTTGACATCCATTTCTGGCGCGAAAACAACTTCTTTCAACCTCGTTTGCCAACTTGGAGAGGGTCTGCCCCCGGTTGAGCGTGTAGGAGCCATGTCATCGTCGTTGTCGCTGGGCTCCGGCGAGTTTCCACCCAGGTCGAAGCTTAGTTGCTCGTATTCAACGTCCGAGAAATTCGGGATGTCGCCTTCTCGGCCTTGACTTGGAGACTGGGAGGTGGTGTCGTTGAAGGCTCGGCAGTGATTGGGAGGCTGGGAAGTGGTTTCGTCCAAGGGGTCAAAGTCGGGATCAACTGGAGTGTTAGTCAACTCCTGTGCTGGCAATCTGTCGCTCGGATCTCCTCTTGCTCTTTCTGGTGTATTGAATCTAGAGGCAGGTGTAATAGACGTCGGGCGTGTGGGTGTCGAGGTCTCTGTCTGAGGGCCGCTGTCCGCCTGCCCGAGAAAGGTCTTTTTCAAATTTCGAAGATCCGAGACGCGCAGCCGACGAATCCCTTTCGCATCGGCGTGGATTGCTTCTTCAAGGAGGCCGCCAGCCTGCCACAGCGATTCGAGCGCTATGTTTCGTGCAAGTGCGACTTCCGTGATGTGGTACAGGCAACTGACGAGCGTCTGTCCTGGCGTGCCCGAGTTCCGAAAGATTGACTCTGGTAACCACGATCGACGATCACCCTACTGACCGTCGAGATATTCCAGTTGCTTTTGGTGTCGTTTGCTGTCGGCGGATGAAAGCTGCTTTAGACGACGGCCTCTTGCTTGGATGCGGAAGTCATGCAGCGCGTCGTCGTCGAGCAGCTCTGACGCAAATTTTCCCGCTGCTTTGGCGGTGGGCGCGTTTGCGATGATGCCAAGACAGATATTCGCTCGGTCGGGAGCCTGGGAGCTTTGGACGACGTGGTGTACGAGATTTCGGAGCTTCTTTGGAGATGTAACCACGGCTTCACTCGCAAAATGCTGGACCTGGAACGGGGGATTATCGATCAGCGAGGGAAGGCGCTCTGGAGGGGGGCAGGGTCATGCTCACAGTTGAGATATGGGTGGCGTCTGTTTGTTGGCCGTCTTCTGTAGCTTGACGTGCGGTTGTGGTTGTGGTTGTGGGCCGTGGTCGCAACTCGCGCATGATAATCGTTGTGGGCGATAATCTGATGGGATTAGGAAAAAGGTTGGAGGTGGTCAAAGTTCATGCAGAGCATATTTCTGCAGAGACGCAACAACGAACGAAATGTGGTGGAATAAGGGACGGGAATGTCGAAGAAAGCATGCGCATGTGCATCGGATGTTGCGCGGACGGATGACTTGGTCAAGTTGCCTCGGGTGGGAGAGCAGGCGGGCAGGTGAAGGATGTAGCACATGACCTAATCTCTGGGCTGTCCACCCAGCTTGGGAAGCAGCCAGCTGTGACGATCGCCCAGGTGACAGAGTGCGGTCCATGGAAGAAGTGGCAGGCGGGTGGGTAAGGTAAGGCAAGGTGGGTAAGGTAAGGAAGGTACTTGCAGGTGGGGCAGGTATCCAGCGCCCCTTCCATTAAGTTATATGCCTGTTGCCCCGATGTGTGTGTGACTGGCGCGTGAGGGTCGATCGGCGGCAGCGCCACAGGCAGATCAGCCAGACTGGGGCATGCCATGTTTTTCATGGCCATGACACCGGGCGGCCCACGACTTCCCACTGGAGAGGGATGTTGGGTGAAAAAGCGAGGCAACGCAGAGTTGAGGGCGGCAGGAGCATTGGGGCTTTGGATATTGTACTTTGTCAGAGTTCCGGTGAAGATAATGCAGGCAGGTGTCGCCAAATAGCAAGCTGGAAGAATGCATCAAACGTGGCGGCAAAAACACGATGGTCCCAGCCGGTGATCTATGTCTTCGGCTCGGCCCGTCCCGCCCCCTTGCTTACCCCTGCGAGGGAGAACTTTAACGGCGTGCACTTTGACATGGTCCATCTGTTCAGACATAGGCTTGGTTGCTTTGGTTAGTAATGTTGATGGCGCCTCAGTGGATGGCTTAGTGGACAGGAAGCAGTAAGATCCCGTTGTTACCTTAGCTACAAAATTGACATAGGTACACTAACTATTGATTCCTGTAGGTAGGTACTAACTGCTAGTTTTAAGCAGTACTAAATGTCAATTTCCCTAGGTGCCAACTGTTAATTCTAGCACCAGAGTTAGCTGTTAGTCCCTGACACTAAGTTAGGCTAGCTAAGGCGTATAACTGTCCAGTGTCTCTTGTTAACATGTCACAGCGTCTGTCTTCCTTAGGCCACTGTCAACTTAACTCAGGATTTCTTCCTTTGCACTGTAGGCCGCAGTTCCCTTAGCGCATGTCCACTACATCTACTTATTTAAAGCCTTCGCATTGTTTACAGTATTCTTGGCCATTTAGCAGCGTCCCTTTTGTGTAAGCCTATCTCATTTCTTCTGCCCCTGTAGCAGACAGACAATTCGCGTCAAAATTTTATGGCTGGGGTCAAATCTTAATTTTTAGATATACATAATTTGCCCTGATCAAGGCGTAGCGAATGAAACGGTTTGCTGTTTTGCCAAATATGAAGTGGCTGAGATGTGTGGTGGTGGACCGGCGCCTAAAGTCAGGCAAGGCACATGTACCTTTCTTGGGCAAACTATGAAACATGGTTTTAGGAGTCCGTTCGCGCTGCTTGTTTGGACAACATTTCATAATGGACCTGTTAGCTTAATTGAGGGCCATCGTTCGGTGAAAGATGAATCGAACAGTGAACTAGAGCGATGATGAAGCTGTCTGCGTTGGACCGCCGAGTCAGACAGATTTGGCCGAGAGCATTAGATGGAAGTTAGAACTACGCATAGTGGTTAAGTGCTGACGAGGGATGATGAGGGCGTGGCGCCGAGGTAATGAACCCAGTATTTGGCAGGCAAATTCGCCTGGTCGATGAACTGATCTGCATCGATGACTCATTTTAGCAAACTCGGTTATCAAAGAAAGGTTGATTTCTCTGTCTGAATAAAGAAACTAAATTTGGATTATGTGAAACATGACAAGTCATAGGAGGGTTGTTCCGAGCCGTATGCATTAAGCTCTTGTCTGCTCACAAAACGATGATGACATCTACCCAAAATGTGCTTTAGCTTACGTTGACATGATCTCAACAGTGGAAGCAGATTCAGAACATCAGACTTGAGTATGAAGCGGGAATCATGGAACTGTCCTCGTGCATGTAGCTGTGGTGTGGTTGCTGTTGGAGAAACGAAAAGCACGGCAGAGGCGGGCGGCAGAAGAAGTTCACAGACGTTTTGTTCTAACTGAATCGTTGATTTCTCTACATGCGCCTACAAAGTAATTTGTGCCATCTAAAAGATTCCCAGCCGGAGACAATGGCATAGATTTTATTTTGACCTGAGTTTGCCAACTGGTCGCCTCAACGAGCCTCACTCTTCCCTTCTTCTATGCATTACAGCATGTTGACCAAGTGTGAGCCCGCCAAGTAGAAGAACACAGCATAATTGGGCCTTGAGTTGGTACTTTATCAGTCTCTGTGATCCCGCGACCTAGAGATGACGGCGTTTAGGGATACATGTAGCGAACCTGCTGCCCATTATCGGCGTGAAGAAAGTTAAGGACGTCCAAGGTTCATGTATTCAAAAAAGTAATACACGTTTCCCTATCCTTCTCAACTTCATTGCGTACCAGTCTTGGTTCGGCATTGTGATTAATTTAAGAATGACTTGGTGGAAAGGTGTGACGTCCGGGGGGACCCATCAGCTTCCGCGTCTTTGAACCCCTTTACCGACACAAATCCCTTGTGAATGATTCCAAGCCCAATTCGGAATCTAGACCGACGGTAAAAGTCAGAGACTAGCCTTCGGGAGACGTTTCTCATGATATGGTCAAAAGTTGGGGCCAAGTTTCTGAGACCCGTGGCAAACATTACTGCATCACGGCTGCATTGATTCCTTTGAGTTCCGCTGTCATGTGAAACGCTACCATGCCTCTGACGCTCCTATCTGAAAATTATATGCCTTTTCCATCATCCCGAACGCTTCTGATTGTTGGAATTGTCAGATTTGCCGAAGCAGGATGTCAGTAATTTGAATTCGCTAGCTGTCATCCATCGAGTTCTATGGACCGAATAAGTAAATAGGTCCGCCTTTAAGGAATCTGATTAAGTATTCACTTTAGATTCAGGTGACGTACAACACAGGCTTTTCTAGCAACCAATTGGAGTCATGAGATGTAGGTGCCAAATCAGAGAACCGGGGGTCGGAGCATCTGACAGTTTTGCAGTTCTTGCGATAGAGGAACTCAGTGATCAACATTGGAGCTCTACAAAGGCTAAAAAATGGTTTGGCTTAGTGACTTAAGCGAATCCACCAGGGCGTAGTCTAGACATAGTTATTAGATGTGATGAAAACGTTAGATACTTGGAATCTCAAATAACGGCCGCTTTGCTTTGATAATGCACGCTAACCCCAGGTCCGTTGGTGAGTATTCCTATTGTATAAACTTTGTATTTAGACCAGGAGTCTTTTTATTAGTGAACTTTGAGTTTGAAAATCAGTACTGTAACTTACATCACATGAACGCCGAGGATGATGGACGCAAATGACGAAGCCGCCTAGTGAGTCAGGACCAAGTGACGCTGGGGCAAAAGAGCTATGGCTCATGAAAACGATGTCAAAGCTGACGCCGTCAGATTGAAACCCTTGCAAAACTCGTCGATACATGATAAAACTAGGATGTTTTATCGCAACCGCAAACCCTTTGTATGAACCACCTTCTTTCACGTTCTTCAACCCCGTTGGTAAGTCATTCTATGACCACATAATCGTTGTCCGTTAAACCTGACAACAACCAAAGCAGCGACACATCATGCCTCCAAAAGTGAAAGCACCAGTCTCGAATATCAAACACAAGAAAAATGTATTACTCAAAGAACAAACCTGAACCTGACGTAGTGACGATGCTATTGGCAAGGTTTTCATCCCATGCTTGGGGCGAGAATCCTCACACTTCACTGCCAATTCCGACATAAGTGTTGATTGCAGTGTTAACACCCACTTAGTCCTTCGCCTGGTTTTCAGCGCGAAGTAATAGTCGGACTCCTGTGCAGCAATTGGCGATTGATCGTTACCGGTATCTGTTAGACCTGATAATGATGGGTATGCAAAAGAGTTGCTTCGTAAGTCACAGTGACTGTCCCCTCAAGAAGCTGTCAAACAAGTTTGATTGACCCAATATGTCGTCTGTGTATACTTTGAGTTTGGGCTTGGCTCAAAAGACATCCATGAACGAACCTCAATCCCGCTCCGCCATTTTCATTAGGAGATATCGGAGAGCGAAGTCCATCGAACAAGTTCTTTTCATCATGTAATGTTGCTGTTGTTAATCTCGTTTGTAGCTCTTTGTGAAATAATCATCAGAACTGGGCTCAATCAGCATGTCAACCCTCGGCTCCGAACCTGCTAAGGAACCTGAACGCTCTGAAAATCTGGCCAAGGTAAAACGCACTGAAGCTTTTCGTATCGAATATCGGCAGTGAACTACATAAGACAAGCAATTTGGCATTTTGAAGCGGTTTGTATAGTTGTGAGCATTTTCTTCAGGCCCTCCGTTCTGAAGATCCATGGAACCCAGCAACATCTTCAGCATCCAGTTCAAGTATGCGTCTGAGACCTTGTATGAGGATGGCAGCTACCATGAAGGGTCGTAGCGAAGCCTAGTATACTTCATCAAGGTCTCTTCGAGGACTTCACGGGGTTCTCAACAATTATTGTGGCATCTGCAAGTAATAGTGTCGTTATGCTTTTCTTCTACGGTCTTTGATGACATCGACGATGGAGCCGTCTATTTTAGCTCCTTGAGTCCCCTAGTCTCTGTTCAAACCGCAGATTCGCATCGCTTGGATGGTAAGCATTAGGAATGAGACACCCGTGGAACTCTTTCACCATCCCGGATGAGATCAGGTGTTGAACCCTTTCATTTCTTGGTTTTGCTCCACCATGATCCAGCACTTTTCGTTCCAATACATCTCGTTAGCTGAATTACTTTCCCGCCACTGAGCCTAATCACACCACGAGGAGTCCACACTATATACTACGTTCATGCCATGGAGCAAAAGAACACGGCCGCCGCACTCTCTCAACCCTTTCGGGAGACATCAATCAACCAATCTCATTGACAAGCAAAGACGCCCAAGCGAAGGAATCATGCAGATTTTAATCAACAGCACAGACCCTCGAATGCCAGGTCGGCAACGGCCAGCAATATGATAGTAACGCAGCGAACAGCAGCCAGCTGTTCAAGAAAGACCTCAGAAACCAAAAACATGCCCAAGCAGCCCCAGACTTTGTCAGAAAGGCCCAAGATCATGCTAGAGTATTGTACAACCGTCATGCACAAGAGCTGTCGCCTCGAAACGCCCCAGCTCATATCACCATGGCTGTAGAAGTGGCCGACTGAGACTTTGGCTCCCGTGCGATGGAATTTGAACATGAAAGTTTCGTTTGGAGCGTTGAACTTCCTGTTGTTATTGCAATTTCAGCGCTTGGCGTTGGCATATTAACTACCTGCGCTTTTTGGATTCGTCCTAAACGGCATAAAATACATGGAACCAGATCGGAGCGGCATCAGCAACTATACCAAAGCCCGAGAACCCTTCTTTTCCCAGTATCTTCAAGTACACCAAGACCAAGATCACACAAGCGGGGATTGACATGAAAATGCCCGCCCGCTATGCCGGCCCCATGCCTGCCTGAGCCATTCGTCAGATAACACCTCTCAAACATTCCGAAGCCCTTTTGCCTGGTTTGTTTCATGTCTATCGCTATCAATTAAGGCCAGAGGCGTCGTCTACATTCTCGTGATGCTTCAAATAATTTTGCCGTGCAACAACATCGCTTCCACAATAGCATCGCCTCGTGGAACTGCGGGCGGCACGCTGCCATCATGATTGCGATTTAGGGCGTTGACAGTACCAATGAGAAGTGCTCGGCTCGATGGAGCGATAGAAGTACCGTATCGAAATGCAAGGTAGATTTAGATTACTCTTGACACCGAAAAGCAAGGTCGGAACCAACACTTTCAAGTTGTTGCTCTTGCTTCAAGAACAGCTGGTCTATCGACCAAGCCCGAAGTTTACAAGTCCACTGCAATCCCAGCTGCTAACGTTGCAACCAACAGGGAAAAAAGGCTTCGCAGTGTTCCAACGTGAGACGACAGCCTCTTGTGTCAGGGTCAGAAGCGCAGTTTTCCAAGATGCGAATGAGGTCTAGCTGGCGGCCAACCACGACCAATTTAGAGATACGTTCCGGGAGTAGCTTAAGATATCTTGGGGACTCCCAGGGCGCCCAATTCATCCAAGTTCCATCGCGGTATTATTCAGACGCAGTAAGTAATAGGTGATTTTCTGGAGAATTCTTACCAATAAACAGAGACTCACGACATGCCTCTCTCATCTGCCGCGCAAGTCTTTGTACTATGAGACTTGATCTCACAAACCAATATCAACATTAGATGCATCATCAATGATCAAAGTCCCTAAAATGACTAGGAATAAGTTTCTGGACCAGAAAAAAAAAGGGACAGCGAATCAATTGTCAAACGAGGCTTCCTTTCTAGGATGTCGTCTACTGGAACCTCAGGAGGGAAAGTCAAGAGGCAGCCAGCCCACATTACAATATATCCAGTTTCAGAGCGTGGAACGCTCCGTCGTGCGAAATGGGGCACAAATAGTGAAATCTGGAGGAAGAGAAAATGAATGATGCTGTTGGTGGAGGAGCCCATGGGTCACGTGACCCACCTCTACCTCCTTCTTGGCCAGCCTCTGCCCACTGCGGGCAGCCCACTCCTA